ACCTTAAGGGTAAACGGCACCAAGTCATTCAATGCAGCAGTGGAAAGGACAAAAAGAGGAGAAGGAAGAGTATTTTGGCTAAAGCGTCAGCAGGGAAAATCAAATTATAAACTGCTAGGCCATGGTCACCTCAAAACAGAACAGGAGAGGAAAAGGTCTCAGGCAAACAGAAAGGAAACTGGAATGGGAGGGAGAGAAAAGCAGGAGATAGTGCTATACAGTGTTCCGCTTAGCCACAGAAAGCCACATCTCAGAGGTTCTGCTGTGAGTGCCAGCATTACAGAAGGAAAGAACACAACTATTACCTATTTCAAATACATGTAATAAAGTGTACTCTAACTGAGGTTACTCTTCATAGCAGGTCCAGGCACAGAGCACAAAAAGAAAGGGGTCTCCGGCATTCATGTCAGGTCACCGTTTTAAGCAATTTTTAAACTAGGGCAAGGTGCCATTTCATACCTTAAGGTGCTGCACCCAGGTAAAAGCACCAAGTTACGTGTATAAAAGGATACACATGGCTCAGTGTGTATGGCTCCAGAGCCAAAGAGTAACTCGGTTTTTTCAACAGCCAAAGTTTGCAACCTTGGACAAATAAAGCTAGAGCTTCATTTCAGCAAAAGTCACCAGGCTCTAACTCAGATTTAGTACGAAGGACAAATCCATTGTTAGCTATGCTGGGAGTAAATTAGCTCTCTATCTGCTCATCTTACCAAAACTGGAAGACCTTCTTGGTGGTTTGTACCAAATGTATTTAAAAAGCAACACAATAAATAGGTGCAACTCCTTGTAGCTAGCACAAAACCTCTTGGCTCCAAGCAGGGCACTTGTGTCAGTGATTTGCAATTGTTGCCATGGGCGAACCAGCCATTTGGGATCTATGGCTGGTTTTTCTCTGTAGAGGAAAGAAGGTTTTCCTCTGTAGATCTTAGAATACTTTTGATAGCAGCTATGTATCATTCTACAGGCAGGGAATTGGAGGAACACGGAGATACGACTTGGTCATGCGAGTTCAGAAGACGGCAGGCAGCACCAGTTTCTATATCCCGAATCCTTTTCAGGCCCCCTTACAGAAAAGGGGCAGGATCACAGCACAGCTTTGATATTGTGCACCATTACAGACTGGTTTTCTAAGTCCAAGCTTGGGACAGAACAGGCTAGTGCTGGCTAGTTCACAACACACCAGCCCTTAGCGACACAGAGGCCCTTTGCTCGCTGCAGGCAGCCAGGAGTGCTCTTTTTCAGTGACAGTAGATTCTACCCAAGCATCTATGGTGAGCTCATCACAAAAGCAGTCAGGCATTAATTTGGACAATCATTCTTGTGGCAGCAAATCCAGTTCTCCAACTAGACTATTTGACCCAAAATTCCAGCTAAGTTGAAGGACAGAAGCCTAAGGTATCAGTCTACTGAACAAAAGTGGTACAATTTAGGTATTGACCCATCCACACTCTTTTCTTTTTATTTTTAACTTTTTCAAGAAAAGGTTACCCAAGAGTTAAATATGAACAAAAATAAAATGCATTAAAAAATTAAATCAGGTCTTCCAGGCACTAAAAAAAAAGGCAGCCCACCCTTCCCATTTAGAAGAAAATTATTTGGAGTTTCTATTAGGCCTCTGCACGCGCTCCATACATCCTGCTTTGCTAAAGGAGAGCCTTTTTGAAGTATCACTTGACTTTGTTTTAAATATCTTGCTACAGTTTCCATTTTAGCTCTGTGAGATGATTATTTTTTCCTCACCAAACTGAAGTTACACAGCAGTTGAAAATGCTGATGGCTTAACTGGTTTCCCTTTTTTTTTTTTCCCCCCCTTTCTTTCTTTTTTTTTTTCCTCCCTTCTCCTCTCCATAGCAGCCCTGAGGGGTTTTAACTCTTTCTGCAGCACTGAAATCCTGCTTTTGGAGTTCAATGTTTAACTCGCGCTGGGAGACTCATAAATATTCGGAGTCACTCTCTCCCTCTCTGTTTGATTAGGAAATGAGCCTTTAACTCAATGTAATCCCCAAGCCATTAACAAAAAAGCCCTCAACAGCTCCACTATTAGAATTTCACTCCTAACCCACAGAGGATTGAATTAGATTAACATAACTACCCGCAATCTGAGTTTATTTTCTGTGCCAGATAGAAATGTGTCTTCAGGAAAGGAAAAGAAAGCGGGAGAGCAAGCATAGCATAATGAAACGTAGAACTAGAGAGATCAGAAATAGATGGACAGATGTACAGGTGAAACGATAAAAGAGGAAACAGAGAGAGAGATAGGTACTCAGTTTTTAATAATCAGCTGCTGCCTTCAAGAGTTTTATTCAGAAGGCCCCTAAAACAAAATTGTTGCAAGAAGAGTGGTTTTTTTTTTTTTTTCCTGCTGGTGTTTACTCCGTGTTCTCAGGGACTTATAGATAAACACCTGAGCGTGCTGCGCTCCAGACACCTGCGCAGCAGATTTGGCACAGGTTTTATTTAGAATTCCCAAGAGATGTCATACTCAGCTACGAAAGGAGGGGCGTGAAGAAGAGAATCTGCATGTCAGTCATTACTGTACAGTCCAAGAAACACACAGACAAGGATGAAACAAAAAGATTTTTCACTCCTCAAAAAAAAAAAAAATCATGTTACAGCCCTGTGACAAATTACACTGAAGAAGTCAGTCTGGACGTTAATAGGTGCTTCATCCGCATAGAATAAATCATTAGTGAAGCAGACACTAAATAACAAAGGCTTTCTTCCACATAAACCATCAAACTTTTTTTCTAACCACAGATAAAGCACCTCAAAAAGTGATCGCATAACTCATTGACTGGTATACTACACAGCAGCAGATGTTTGGTGTTTTTTTCCCAAATGCAGTAGTAACATAAAGAGTCAGCAGGCTGAACAGGGGAAAGATCCATATACGGTTAAAAGAGAAGGATAAAGTCCAGTTGGTATGTGGACATAACTACAAAATACTCCAAAATACTATTCAGACTAAACCTTCTCTAGCTTAATACTTTGCGCACTTCTTTGAGAATGCTTGGGTCTCCACAAAAATGTATAGCAAATGGGTTTTTGCAGTAATTCCTGAATACAGTCATGCTGATATTTCTGCATACACAGAGGAGAAAAAGATTCAGTTCTTATATTTCAAGTGATAAGATGCCCCTTGGTTTTCAATTTTTAGGGGGACCTCAGATCAGCTATAAGATAGATTCTTTGTTAATTACAGAGTCAGCAAATTTATTCCATCTATGCTTTTCAGAAAAATCTGTTATTCCTTTATTGCACATTACAGTTGCATTGTAACAGGCAATAAATGTAATATTGTGCTAAAACAAATAGCAAAGAAACTTAAATAATTTAAATTTTTTCATTTAAGTAAAACAAAAAGCCTTACTAATCAAAATGAAGCCTTCTACAGTGAGAGTGGTCAGGCTGACAGTTTTGTTTTATTTGGGGGGGGGGGGGGGGTTTAGGGAAATATTGCAATGATCATTTTAGGCATTAATGTAAGTAAATTCATCATGTTTATCAATACTGTCCCTAAAGCCTTCCTTCTATCTACGGCTCTAGCTGAAAGATGGAATATTTGTATGACTGGTTTAAAACTTTGAAAGAATTGATTTGTAATCAGTTTTTTGTTTCTAGAACTTAAGTTAAAAACTTTGACAATTATGAAACATACATCAAAGAAATACAAAATAAAAACCTTAAGAACAGACTACTTGTCACTTTTCTATAGTCAGTCCAACCAATTCAGCTGTCATCTATTTCTTAGGACTTGATATTTTAACTTTGAGATAGCTCTGTTTTTATTATTCCATTAATAATTTTATTAGACACTTGTTCCATCCAAATTATTTTAAGATTCACTTCATTTTAATTCTTGTTGCTTTCAAAGTAGTAAATTGTGGAAATAACATTATTGGAACATGTATCTCTTTAGCAAATTATGTATATAAAAAAAATTAACAAAATTAAAGTAACGCTGGCATTTTTGAGGGCGGAAATTTTTAATACAAGAAGTCTTAAGGAAATTTTGTAATAACATTTTTTCCTATGCTTAAAAATAATTATACACATCAAATTCTGTAAAAGATATGCCAAGCCTCTGAAACCAAAACAGGAAAAATGAAAATTCTTTAGTTTCCAGTGTTTTGACAAACATGTTACGCTAAAAGCTATTAATAGAAAACAGTTTCTGAACAATCATAAAGTCTTCATAATTACAGCCTCTCTTCATGTTCCTTTTAGCAAAAAAATTGCAAAAATGTATAATTGTTCAAACCATTTTGCATTTTGGTTAATTTAAAGCAAACAGCTCGCTGGCAATCAGATACACAGTAAGTTCCTCCTTTGATTGCCACTGTGCCGACTTTGCAAAGACTTACACCCCTCTTTTGTCATTGAGGAGACTTCAGTTGCTTTCTTTGAGACTTTTAAAATTAGACAAACATCAACTGCTCAATGACAAATGCATTCAGTAAAAACAAAATTTTATTTTAATCTCCCTGCTAGAGAAGGTGCGATATGAAGCTTTTTTTTTTATTATTTAATAGAGGAGAGGGTGTCACTTGGGTTTGTTTAAGTTAGGGCTGCTGAAGTTTCCAGGTTTGCGTTTACCAGCACGGGATAAATAGCACCTGTCCTTGGTAAGCCCTTAAGCAGAGTTACGTTATACATTGACCTTTTTGGAATGCCAGCAAACCTGACCGCTTCTATTCCCAAAACGATCCTGTTCCACTCAAACTTTAATTTGATTATTTCCAGAGGAATAAGCAACCTTTCAATAGTGAAACTGCCTGATTTCTATAAAGTTCTGAAACCAACTCCTCTCCTTGTGGGTCACACTGACCTTCCTTTGACAGTGTGAAAATAGAGAAAAAAAAAAAAATCATTTCCTTTAACCACAATGAGATGCTGCCATAATTTTAAGCCCAGATAAAAGGATTGGTGCAGAGAAACATTTGGATTCAAAAAAAAAAAAATCCCATAAATGCAATAAAAGGTAGAAGTTCAGTACTTACATGCTGCGGGCTGAGAGATGAAGCTTGAGGCTGGAGTAGAATTTCCCTCGCCCTCAGGTGTTTCTAATTGCTGATTAAATATCTTTTGGTTCCGCCTGCACCAGCCGACAGTCCCCTCTGCGTCTCTGCCTCTCTTTGTGACTAGGACACAGTACTCCGAGTCCCAACCTATAAATAGATCCCAGCTCTGTGATTGATATAACAGGCAGCTGACAAAAAAAAAAAAAAAAAAAAAAAAAAAAGAGAATAAGCAGGTTTTAAGCAAAGCAGCAAAACCTGGGCTTTTAACTCTGCACTATGCCCAGGGAGGACTCCCCCACAGTCACCCGTGGGCATCAGAAAGAGAAAGTGCAAGGCAATTACTTTCCCAGCAGCATTACAGCAACTTGAGGCATGTAAAGTGAGTGAACAAAATTCAATGCACAAAGAAGCAGAGGGAAAACATAACTGCCAGATTGCATCCAACTCTTTTGCACTTTAGCAGAAATAAATGCAATTTTGAAAACAAGTTGGAGATTCTGACAGAATGAGAGAGGAATTCAGAGTTCTGAAAATTCCTGCTGCAGAATAAACTGAGACCAGTGGGTAGGTTAGCGACTTAACAGTTCAGCAGCCTACTTAGGGTCACTGCCCACAAGCACCATTTGATGAGGCTCTCCCTGGAGTCAGAAATGAGGTTGTTGATGACACATCCCCTATTGGCTCAGCTGAAGTTACTCAGCTTTCAGGGACCTGAACCATCACTCCTGATCATGTCCTTGACTACCAGGAGAAAACTCCTGACAAGGATGAGTTATAGGTATCAGCATAGTTTTTTTGCAGAGGCTGTACTGGGAGCCCAACATCTGGGCAACAACTTGAGAGAAAGCATCAGGATGCTTCTGCTCTAGTCCCCATTAACAGGTAGGGGTAACAATCCTGGATTTCTACAGTTCCATTTCTACGGTTTTCCTGTTAGCTCCTCAATCAGGCAATGCCAAAAGCTTTTCCAAGAGACAGATGGTTCTCCAAGCCTTCTCCATCTCCTAGATATTTAGCATGCAGCAGAACCTGCAATGGTTACATAGCTTCATAGCAAATGGATTCAAAGGCAAGGCAGCCCCAGCTGAATGCCAGGGGAAGGGTGGGGAAGAAGAGGAAGAACAACAGGCAGAGAGGCAAAACAGCTTCTGCTACACTACCTCCAGCAGTATCTCCCATGATCATCCCTAGCACCATGCTCAGCTCTGCAGGCAAAAGTACTAGTGCAGACAGAGTACCAGATCCACTAGCCTTCTTTTCAACATATTTTTAGTCTTGCTTGAGCTGAGATGGTTAAGAAATGCTGAACTCGTAAAGAGCAGGATAAAATCCTCAGGCTTTAAGCCCATATTGAACTCCATGGTTCTTTGGCTCAGTGGCTAACAGCACCTGAGCGAGCTATTTAAACTAGTTCAGGCACGTCTACACTGTGCTGCAGCTGCTGCTCTTACTGGAGTAAAGCAAGTCAACAGGAGCAGCTGTCCTGAAACAAGTTAAGGACCCACCACACCATAGTCAAGGTCCCAGTTTAACCACAGCTATTGATCACTTGGGAAGACAAAGTTGTTTCCTCATTTTGGGCCAAAGCCTGCCGCATACAAAATTTACCTTTTATCAATATGCTCTGTGTCTAAGCTGGCAGAATTTAGCCAACATTTTTTCACATAATATGAATTATATATGGCCCTTCTGGCAGAACAAGGACCTGATGAAGCACTGGGGAAAGACTCATACCACGTAGACTTCTTACTCAGTTATACTACTGCCTTGTGTGAAGTCTGGCTAGTCACTTGACCACTGTTTCAGATCCCTCCAGCTTTAGAAAACAGAGATAATAATATTTGCACTGCACTTTAAAGTGTTTTTCTATCTACAGATGAAGTCCTTGCTACCATCCTCCTCTGATTTAAGGAAAAAAAAAAGTCCGACAGGCTGAGCTCTAGTGCAGTGTCACCAACTGCAATGGGAGCATATCCTCAACATCCTGCCAGATTCTGGCTCTTCGCTTTCACCCAGTTGAATGATCCATCTCAGATAAAAATTTACCTGACCAGACAAAGAAATTTTTGATATTTCAGAAAGGACATAACAATGAGTAATGCCCACTTATTTGGATTGGCTAGTAAAAGATACTTTGGGTTCTGATGTGGAGAGCTGCGAAACGTTTTATACTTCGCATTGCCATCAAAAGGAATTTTAGAAGCTCAGTACACAGCAATAATCAGGCTGAGGTATGGCAAATCAAGGTCTCAAAACAGGGGCACCTAAATCCAGCAGTTAGTTTTGAAAACTACAGCTTTACAAAGGCATAGTCTCATAGACCTTGAGTATATTACCACTGTCAGACCGTTCTTTGCCATTCTATATTGCTGACATCTAAATATCTCTAAATATTACTCTATCAAACCTCATTTTCTGTGGAGCAATATCATCTCTATCCCACTACACTGACAAGGGCTAAACAGAAGTCTGGGGAAACCCAATGATACAGTCTAAACCACCAGGACCCTCTGGGCACATCTCAATCAGATAACTAGGAAGCTCTCCTCAGTTCTCAGGTCCAGGTGCAGTGCTTAACGCTGGTATCCCATATCCACAATGGAGCAAGACCTGGGCACGCAGTAGTCCCCCATCTCCCTACTTCCCATCTGGAGGATGAAGGGATGAGGACCTCCCAGCATGACACAGACAGCTAGTATGTCTCAGCTTTGAATGGAGCCAGCATTCCTCCATCCTTCCTCTCTGCCTTCAGATACTAGCATATATGACTTTAGTTGCTCCTCACTGGGGAAGCCAGAGGTCCAGCAAAGAGCTTCCTTAGCTAAAACTTCAAACACAAGTTCCTAGCCCCAGCGTCATCACCTCCAGTGTACAAATACGTCTTCATTTCAGTAACTACAGACTCAGGGTGAGGCTGGGAAAGAGGTCAACAGTCAAGGCACTGAGATTGAATGCCCTCTTCAAAACACTGCAGAAAGGAAGCTAGATTTCAAAAGCACCCTCAGATACATCAAAAAACAAACACAAAAGATCAGCATCAATGACTTTTAGATTGTATAAAGGCTTAATACTTTCCTTGAAGCACCCCAATAGAAGACATTGTAAAGTGTAAGTGCAGCTTTACAGTCTTTTCTACCTGTCATTTGGGAAGATATTTTTAAAGGCTTCTTGCTAGGACCTTTTTCATTATAAGCCTGTATTTCACAGTCTCAGATTCTCAAATCTATGACTGGCAGAGGTAAAATTTCAGTGCTCGGTTTTCTTCAAACACAATCTGTTTGAGGCTTGTGCATATAAATCTGCACATATAAAGCTGCGCACATATAAATTTGCTCGGCTACATACAAGTTATTACAGGAGAATGCAAAATACACTTTCCTTCTAATGATAAAAACAAACAAAAATTCACTGCTAGTCTTTTTAGACAGGGACACAGCAAAACCAGTTGAAGCTTGAAAATACTGGCCCAATCATTGGAATCTTTCAACTCCTCCCCCACCACATTAAACCAACTAGATAATCTTTGTCCCTTCTCCCATGAGCCTCAAAGTGCTTCTGGGTACATCCGATTTATGTGCCGTAAGTTTAAAGCTCAGAACCACTGCTGCCTTTATAGCAGGAAATGCACAAGCATGGATAAAAGTTTTAAAGGTTAAACTGAAAATCAACTCTGCAGTTGCAAAGGCTAGCCACAAACTAAGAAGAATAATTGCAAAACACAGCAAAAAGTTGCATTATCAAAATCATGCTGTCTCAAAAGAGTCTCACAACTTAAAAATTCCAGAATAAAAGGGTTAGCACCCTGCTAGATTTAGCGAGGTGTGAGCAGCTGCTCAAGACAGAAAAAATTGATGTTATCACTGGGAGTTTAGCTGTTTTATTTCCTTATTTGATTTTAATGCTGCAAACTTCATATTATATCAATGCTCTTTTTCTATGCAGCCAATATCCCTAGTAGGATATTTTTGGCTTGTGCTGACCCCAAGGCCCACACATCTGCACCCAGTTCTTTCGTGCATGCTTCAGGATAGCGCAATGCCTTATCAAGACTCTGTCATCACCAGAGAAAGTCACTGTGCTGGGTTAATACACTTGTAAACTTTGCTCCTTCTTTAGCTCCTATATATTTTATTAATTTTCAAGAATGTGAAAACGACTAAGATCTTGACAGAAGTCCCCTATCAGATTTAGTGATACCCGCTAAAGATGCTACCACCCTCCAGCTTCCTACCAGCTCACAATTAGGGCCCCAGAAGCTCTGCTGCAGAAGGGAACTTACGAAAGCTTTCTAAACTGTTTCAGGTAAAGCAAGTCAGGTTAGGGAAAAGGACCTATACTGGATTAGGAAGCCTCCAAATCTATTCTTTCATTGTCAGAGCTGCAGGCACAGCAATGCCTTCAATCTGGCATAGCTATTTGCAAAGTTAGACTTTGGAGAAGCAGCATCTCTGGCTGCTGTGCAGAGGTTATGCCATTAGCTTTCACGTAAATAAGGGTAAGCACAGAAAAGTACTTTCTCCCTTGTTTATCTGACTTCACCAGTAATAACAATGCACTAATCAAACATGGCTTGGCCTCAGCAGCAAAACACATATCAGAGCACTTTCAGAAAATATCCAGAGAGAACATTCAGTTTACACATACACACAGAAATAAAACCTGTAAGGATTAGCTAAAATCTCCAAGCACTAGGACAATACCGCATTACATTTAAACATACAACGTTTGCCAGTCTATCACATACAGTATAATAATACAGGTCCCTTCCACCCTTACCTCACTTAGAGCCCTCCTAAACTTCCCCTTCTACTGTAGAGCCTTTGCCTAAAAGAGTTTCTGTGTTTACACTCAGCAAAAAACAATGAAACAGAGAAAGACTTTCTTGGATGTAGTCCTGCCTAAATTGTGTAACCACAGTATTCTGTCTCTGGAAACCACCATCCTCTTCTTCCAATCACAGGCTGCAACGCGTTTCACCAACTCGACACTGTCAATTCCATCACTTGGGGCAGGCACCTTCTGCGCTTTCAACTTGTTGCAGATGCTTTGTAAAAACTCATATCTGTTGTTGTACCACTTGTTTAGGACCTAGTTTAGCACCAGCAAGTCCACACCTGTGCTGGCAGGGCATTAGCTGTGCACTCAGA